ATGATGAGGCCTTTAGGAATGAATGGCGTCTTAAATCAAACAAACTGGTATCGGTGGTATCGAAATTTACATGACACGGCGTTCAATTAGGAGATCGAAAGCCACTAAAAAGTGGTCAACTTGTGCAAGGAGGGCCCTGTCCGCTGGAGGCCTAACTTAACGAAGATTGTCCAGCCCATGGCGCAAGGCTTGTCCAAAGTGAGTACTTTCATCAAGTTGGCAGCGATGGTGATCACTTCGACGCGGAAGTGCTGGCCAGATTCCGCGGTCCAGGACGCCGTCGAGGCCCAGGACACGTCCAGGATGTCGTCGGTGTGTCTGCGGCCGGCTGGAGCCCTATCTAGTAATTCAACAATCCCACATCCTGGCGGGCCTGCAGACTGATTCCGAGAGTCGTTTTCGTCGCTCTGTCTCTGTCGCCCCGTGCACGGGGCGTCCCGTACAGGTGCGAGAGAGACGGAGCGACGAAAACTGACTCGGAATGAGTCTGCTGGCCGGCTGGGCAGCGGATCCAGGCCACAGCGCTGCCCCCTGGCGGCGTGCTGGCCCCTTGGCTGGCCCAGGCCAAGAAGGCCCCGAAGGCCTAGAGTGTGCCGGCGGACTCTAGCCGCCACCACCCACCTCGCACAGTGGGCCAGAAGGCCGGTGGAAGCAGCTAAAACTCTGGACGCATTTTGAGCTCCAGAGTCGCTAAATGGGGCTAGAATTGAACGTGTGACCCCACCCATGGATTGCTCTCCGAACGAGGAATCCATTGGTGGGGTCACACGTTCGGTTCGAGTCCTGCTTAGCGACTCTGGAGCTCAAAACGCGTCCAGAGTTTTGGCCGCCTCCACCGGTCTTCTGGCCCACTGTGCCTCGCCTTCCTGGAGAGTAGCCGCGCCGCCGTCGCTAGCCAATCACACGTCCAGTTCCTGCTGCTGGCTCAACACTCTGTCACTCTCGCATGACCTTCGGTAAGGGTGCGAGAGAGACAGCCTGCTCTTTGGTCTATTCAATTTGACGGCGGCGCATCTGGGCGGGAAAGAACGCGGCATGTGTATGGGACGTCCGTGGTAGATGCGTTGTTCTGCTCGGCCAGGTTCTAATTGGCGATATCCTGGTCGATCGAGACATCGATTATCGCGCTGCCTTCCGACTAAACGACAGGAAAATGTGCACTTGTCACCCAATGTGCTGCGTGAGGCAACACTGCAAAAAAGATAAATCGATTAAATCTTTTTTTTTTCACTAATCTCAGAGACGAATTCATAGCGTAGTCAAAACTGATATCACCAAGGGAATCAACCAAACCGAAAGCTGTCTGTCCGTGGTCGCCCGTTTTCGGCACACAAGATAAAAGCCTTCCACAATTTTTTTTTTTTTTTTTTTTTGAAAACCGAAGAAAAAAGCAGTGGCTTGCCTGCGGCGCGGTGCGCTCCTTGTGCAAGCCGCAGCAAGCTGCAGCAGTGCAGGCTGCTGCCGGGACGTTCCTTGGCATAAATCCATCGCGTACGGTGCCACGGCGGCACGGCCGGCCGGGCGCCGATTACGATCGAAGCCTCTGGAGAAATAGAGACAAACGTATTTCATTTTATCACATTGCCTGGAACCATGGAAACCCGTGCCGCTGGTCCCGGAGCATCGGGCCTGCCGGCGTGCAGGGCGCCCGAGTGATAGAGAGAGAGAGAGAGAGAGAGAGAGAGAGAGAGAGAGAGAGAGAGAGAGAGAGAGAGAGAGGCCGTCATCCCGCTCAGTCGTGGCTGCCGGGCCTACGCGCACAGGAGCCGCCAGGGCCCCGCCAACCCCTCGGGGCGGACCTGGCACGCCCACTCTGCCTGGACTCTTGACGAAACTCCCACTTTTCAGTCAGAGAGGTTCGTATCCCGAAAGACGCGTCAGCTGCATGCTTTATGCATACGACCCAGTTTTTAAAATTTGGTGTGCGTGGTGCTGGGTTATGAGACGGAAGGGCAGAGAAAAAAAACTGTAAAAAAATGTTTGAGTAGCGAAACAGCACTGAGCTGGCCACCCATTTGGCTGTCTGTGGCAATGCGACCATCCCACTGCTTGCACAAAGATTGCTCCCGAAATCATCGCATACACTGTTAAAAAGAAATGATGGAAATCCCGGAATCTCCGTTTCTCGAAAAGATATATTTTTCACTATAAATACCGGTCTCTGGGAACTTCCAAAAAAAATGTTAACTGTCACTACAGCTAGGAGAGCCAACTGCTTCGCAGCGATTGACAATGCGAGTCATCTAAAAACAGCCCGGCTTGCCCAAAGTCAGCAAATTTCACAAGTCTGAGAGATTTAGCACCGCCGCTGTGGTTTTGGGAAACACTGCGAAGTGTCCCTGCGGCGCTGCGGGGACTCAGACAATGCGTCGCGGTGCGTCGCGGTCCGCGGACGCCGGACGCAGCGCTGCCGAGACGACGCGCTTTGACAAGGCGGCAAGCAAGGCGGGGCTGCGAAATGACACGCCTTGTTTGGCCATAATTTACAGGACGCCAACAGAAACAACTTGACAAAAAAAGAATTAACTTAATTAAAAAGGCCAAAAATTACTACCCACACTAAATTTATTCTTTGTGCAATTGTTGTGCGTGGTCTCAAACAATTTTCCGCATGACTGCTTTTCAAAAAAAAATTTGTACGAAAATTATGAACAAATATATCGCGCGGTACAGTCTTTTTTCTGTAATCTCACGAAAACTGTGCGTTGCGTTTGGCGCCTTTAAAACCCGCACCGCGGCACTATTCGCAGGATCGGCCTCGTTGTTGAGGGCGGCAATAAGCACCGCCTTCTGCGAATAATGGCCGCCCAGCCATACGTGGCCCGGGCTAGGCTCGCTAGTGCCCGTCGGAATAAGTGGACTATTGGCAGCACTGCGTACGCCAGTGCCGCCAGTGCGCTAGTACGGACGTGCCACAATGCCGGCGTTGTTGGCCAACCTGGCCGTCGCATTCAAGCCGCGTTGCATGGCCAACATGGCCAATCTGCATTCGATCGCGCGACCTTGGTCGGGGTTTCGCAGCCAAACTTTGAGTCCGTCCATTGGCTGCCCTGCATTCCAATGTGGCGGAGACATGTAATAAAAATATACAAGCGGGGAAAAAAATATCTAAGAGAACGCGCGCGCACTCGCCGAAAAAAAATCAGTGATGTAGAAATAACGGACTTGTTGGCTCTAATTTAATCTGATTATTGGCCCCCGAAATTATCGTTAGCCGGCCGCCGGTCCTCGGCAACCCGTTTAGCTAATGACTGCCGATAGCACGCAGCGCCGTAAGCACGCGCCGAGCTGAGCTGAGCCGAGCTGAGCCGAGCCAAGCCGAGCAAATACAAACTACTACCACTGCTACAACAACTCCTCCTCCACGGCTAGACACGCTGCTCCACCGTCCGCCTACAAATTTGTCAGTCAGGCACACATAGAAAGTCCGTACCTGTGCGGCTTGATTACTAAGGTCAACTACTTACTCGGGAACGAAAACGGGTTTAAACGGACACAGTAGGGACCCGCAAGAAGACACACACACCACATGTGCGGGCAGGGCAACGCCATGGCACTAGTCGAGAGGATGTGGATGACGCGGTCATGTCACTAACCCTAAAACAGTAGTGCGGCGACATCGGACACTTTCAGTACTCGTGCATCGGACGCTAATTTAATTTTCCTCCACTAATGCGGCAAGACTGGTGGGTCGCCCCGCCCCCTTTCTGACTCCAGAGGCGAAGGCAGTCTGCCTACCTCAACGACGCAACGCACAGGCAGTGCGCATCCAGGTACACTGTATGACTGACAAGACAGCTCGACGGTGGGCTTTGCACCGCGATGACAGCCGAGCCGGTGATTCTTATTCCGTTTTTCTGCCTTCGAGACGCACGCGCCCTGTCCGTGCCTGTCGCAACGGCATGCGTGTGCCACAGTGTGCCCCGCAGTGCCTCGCAGTGCTTCTCAGGGCGAGAGATCAGATCGTCGAAACTGAAAATTATAGCTCGGGACTAGATCCCTGTCCAGCCCGGGCCGGGCGGGTAGCCGCGCGCTGCCATTGGCTGCCATTGAGGCTGCCAGACGCATAGCAGACTGATGCCGAGAGTCGTCGCTCCGTCTCTCTCGCTCCTGCACGGGACGCCCCGTGAGTGCGAGAGAGACAGCGAGTCAGGCTGCTGGAGCGGCCCAGACGGACTAGACGGACTACCGAGCACGCGCTATTTATGTTTGCAGCTCGTTCTAGCCGACTAGGACTGGCTGCTGCGGCTCTGGGCTGCGCGCTGCGCGGGCAGGTTCACAGGTTTAACGATGATTTCGTGCGCGCTCCCCTTTTTCCAGCCATTTACTTGCATTATTGCAACACACACACACACACACACACACACACACACCACACACACACCACACACACACACACACATGGGCACCATGTTTGGGCCGAGGCTGTGTGTATTGAACGCGCTGCTGCAGCGCTTCGCGGCCGTAATCATCTCTCCTCAACGAGTCTGGATCGCTTTTGTTTTCAACAGTTATTTTTGAAAAAGAAACGGATCACAGAAAATAGGTTGAGGGCGCTCTGCTCACACACACACACACACACACACACACACTCCCATACGCACACAGAGACGCGTCCAATGTGCGGATCGGCTCGCACAGGCTGAGATGCATATGTTGCTCCGATTGCTAAAGTGCTGAGCCGTACAGGGCCAAGCAAAACACGACGATCTACCGCAGCCGGGCGTGCTGTCAATACGAGAGCGGTGTGTGTGTGTGTGTGTGTGTGTGTGTGTGTGTGTGTGTGTGTGTGTGTGCAACTGCAGTGTGCGCTGCACACACATGCACTGCGAGTCGGTGCATGGTCCGGTTAGCCGCCAGCCTTTTACTTTCAACGTCTGTCACTCGGATGAGGGGTATCGGGTTTACGACTCGTCATTTCATCTATTCATTACTCGAATTACTGTCACGTGATGGGGATCGACGGGGAGGAATACAAAAAAAAATTGAGAGCCACGCAGTTTGGCATAGTGGATTAATTTTTTATTCACCTAGGCGAATGTTGTTGATATGTTTGTATATAAGAAATTTGTGATGATGAAATGAGGATGAAAATGAGATGACTAAACGAAAATGAGGATGGCGGTGAGGATGATGGTGATGTAGCGGACCAGCCGATATATATAATTTTTTGGCAGGGTAGGGGCGCGGCAACGCGATGGCAGTGTGTTCAGTCGTCGCCTCCGGTCATGACCTCCATGAACTCTGCGGCGAGAGACAAAAATTGCGTAAGTACATTCACACAAATTTTCAGGTAGGAACGTTCATTTACAACAAGTCGTTTGCGAGCGAGTAGAGCGATGCAGCCGTCTCGCGGCGCTACCCCGCGACTCGCGGTCCGTAACGGTACCCCAGGGCGCGGGGTAGCGCCAGCGGCGAAGGCGTGTGAAACCGACACGAGCCTTCGCCCGGCGTTCGGACCTCGCGGGTTTTGCGCGGACGCTGGAATCTTACCGTCGAAGTCCACGGTGCCGGAACCGTCAGAGTCGATTTCCTGGATCATCATGTCCAGCTCATCGGAGGTGACCTTGTCGTCCAGCTCCCGGAGGATCTCCCGCAGCACCTGGGTGGTGATGTAGCCGTTGCCTGCACAGAGAGCACGCCGTCAGAGCACGTCGTCAGAGCACGCCGTTAGAGCACGCCGTAGCACGGCCTCAGAGAGCACGCCCTCGGACCCCGGTCCAACGCGTGCCATTCCCAGAACTCATTTGCGGTAGGCTTTCCCCTTCCCTCCCCCGGGCCAAATGCCCCCCCCCCCCCCCCCCCCGCGGCGTCGCGACGCTGCAAGTCAGGCGTGGCCGCGGAATGCACCTGTTCCACTGCTTGGCACTTGAGGAGCACATTAAGGGGACGCGCGAGGTTGTTGAGAGGTGACAGGCCTGCGTCGTTTGGCACTTGATCGCCTCCGCGAGTGCAACCAGTGGCGCAGCACCACGGTGGGCGGAGGGGGACAAAAATCCCGGACGCGTTTTGAGCTCGAGAGTCGCTAAATGGGACTCGAACCTATCATGCGACCCCACCAATGGATTGGTGGGGTCACACGTTCAGTTCGAGTGCCATTTAGCGACTCTGGAGCTCAAAACGCGTCTAGAGTTTCGACCGCCTGCACCGGTCTTCTGGCCCACTGTGCAGGTGGGGCACGGGGCGGAGGCGGACTCACCTTCCTTGTCGTAGAGCCTGAAGGCCTCCCTCAGCTCCTGCTGCATGGTCTCGCTGTCCTCCTCAATGAGGAACCGGGAGGCCAGGGTGACGAACTCCTCGAACTCCAGCTCGCCGGAGCCTGCGGGAAAAGCAGTTTGACCGTGCGTTCTTCGCTAATTTCTAAGCGAGATTGGAGTGTTTTTTGGTGTGCCTACCGTCGGCGTCGACCTCGGCGATGATCTCCTCGAGCACCTTGTCGGTGACGCCGTGGCCCAGCATCTCGAGGATGGTGCCCACCATGGTGGTGGGGATGTTGCCGGTCTTGGCCTGGTCGAAGGCATCGAAGGCCTTCTTCAGGAGGGCGACCTGGTCCTTGGAAAGATCATCCTGCGAACAAGAAAAAAAACGCATTATTTCCGGATCTTTCTTTCCACAGGTGCGTTTCGGTGCTGATCCTCCCACGTCCCGCTCTAGCCTCGCAGCATGCCGCCGCTGTCATGGACCGAGACTCGTCACTTTTCTAAATATACCCCGCTTAGATTGGCGATAGCGGAATGAAGGCGCCCCAGAGCCGCCCCCAAAAGCCACAGCAGCCGCTTCCTCGACACCGGGCAGCTGTTTTCGAAAGCGGCTCCTCGAAAATACTCCGCACGTGACGCAAGGTTTAAAAACGGGGCGCGGGCAACCGCCATGACAGGGGCGCCATCCGTTAGCGTCCGCGGCGATTGTTCTTTGCTTTGTCATTAACGAGACATTCGCCCACCGGACAGTCAGCCGCGCAGTCGTTACTTCGATACATCGAACTATCGACAATAACAACTAGCAGTCGTTAGCGGCGGCCGCCCCATCGGACAGTCGCGCAACGCGGCATTGTCGCTTCATTCATTCGACCGCCACACTGTGGATTTGCAAGAAGACCGGTGGAGGCGGTCAAAATTCTCAACACGTTTTGAGCTTTGTCGCTAAAGCAGCGTGTGACCCCACCAATGGATTGCTCTTGCTCTCCGATCGAGGAATCCATTGGTGGGGTCACACGTTCGGTTCGAGTCCTGCATAGCGACTCTGGAGCTCAAAACGCGTCCGGGATTTCGGCCGCCTCCACCGGTCCTCTGGCCCACTGTGCTGGGAAAAGCCAAGTCCCCCTAGGCGAGTCCGCAACGTCGAGTCGGTTTCGAACGGAAGTAGCAGCTAGCAAGCCAAGCGGCCAACATACAGTGTGGTGTCGCCCACGACCCAACACGGTCCAAGAGTCACACGGTTATGCAGTCCCGCTGACACGCCTGCATCCGGGACGGCCTACGCGCCCGGCGCCCCGGGCTGCTGTCTCTCTCTCTCTCTCTCTCTCTCTCTCCTCTCTCTTTTCTCTCCTCTCTCTCCTTCCCCTCTCTCTCTCTCTCTCCCTCTCTCTCTCTCTCTCTCCCCCCTCTCTCCTCCCCCCCCCCCCCGCCCCGCCGCGGAAACCGCGCCCCGAGGGGGAAAAAGGGGGGCCGCAACCCCTTGGAACAAGGGGGGTTCCCCCCCCCCCGGCCTCCCCGGCCCCAAAAACCCCCCTTCCCTCTCCCCCCCAAAATTTTCTTTTTTTTCCCCTTTTTGGGGGTTCCCCCCCTCCCCTCCCCCCCTTTTTCCCCCCGGCCCTCCCCCCCCCCTTTTTTTTCCCCCTTCTCTTTTTTTCCCCCCCCTTTTTTCCCTCTCCCCCTCCCCCCCCTTTCCCCTTTCTCCTCCCCCTCCCCCTTCCTCCTCTCTCTCCTTCCCCCTCCCCTTTTCTCCCCCTCTCTCCCTCCTTTTTTCCCCCTTCTCCCCTCTCTCCCCTCCTCTCCTCTCTTTTTCCCCCTCTCTCCTCTCTCCTCTCTTTTCCCTTTTCCCCTCCCTCTCTCTCTCTCTCTCCCCAAAAAAGGGGGGAAAAAGGGTTCCCCTTTTTTTTTTAAAATTTTGGGGGGAAACGCCTACAAATACTTTCCCACGGCAAGTTAAAAAAGAAAACCCCCAAGATGTGATAATAATCCAGCCAGTTGGTGCTTTCTAGAGGATAAATCTACAACAACAAACCCATCAGCCGGCAACGGTCACAGTCGGGGTCCGCCAGGCTCTGGCCCAGCTCAAAAACAACCACAAAAAAAACCCCACCGTCCTCAGCGGCAACTCTGGAATGACATCTTGGCTCAAGACTTCATCCAAAACCCTCCCAGCAAACCAAAAAACCTTCAACAAGTATCCCCAAAAAATTCACAGTAAGTCAATTTGAATCGACTCACGTAGTTCTGCAAATAGCCGCGGGTCCGTTCCCGGATCCAGCATGGCGGCCGCCATAACCTCACTGACCAACAACGACCCCCAGCGGCCCTCAGCAAGACTCAACGAACGCACCCAACCAAAAAAACTCGGCAGCAGACGAACTGTGAAGCAATCAACACAAGTTCAACAAATTATGTGCCAACAAAAAAATGTGCAATAGTTTTTGAAAATACCCCAAAATGTTTCTCAAGACTCAGCATTGAGAGCCTTTCTGACATTATTTCGGGCGCTAATACCATTATGTGACCCGACTTAGTGGCGCACGAATCTGCATGTACTTGTCAAACGAAGAATGTGTCAACAAACTTTGTCAAGAAGGGGGAATAGTTTTGATTCGGTATTTTCCAGTACGAAGAAAGTTACCGAGGGCCCCAAAGTTTTAGTTTCAAATTGCCCACCTGAGTTTTTTGATGACGACCTCAAAAAACTGTTGGGGCCTTATGGTAGAATTGTTTCTGCACCATCAAAACTCCGGGTTATATTCTCATGATGATTTAAAACAGTAAATCCTGGCGCCGCTCAATTTACTAAGATACCCATACTCAAATGACCCACCCAAAAGAATTCCTATTTTCAATAA